TAATGTGAACATTGTTGATTGATTTAAATATTTATAAAAATTATTCCCAACACTTTTATTATCGTGTGGTTGGTGAGTTGTTATCCATTGCTTATTTAGAGATAAATGGTTAATTGCCTTGATTAACTCTTTAGTAATTTTCGATTGAAGCTGATCGCTAAAACCATCCATGAAAAATGAAACAAGGCCATGATTGAAAGAATATTGAAAAAGTTCTTGATTGTCATTTTCAATGATTTTGTTCGCACAAAAAAAGTTAATTATATCGTTACGACATCTCAAAGGATATTCCTTATAAAATCCGCATATTAACTTATCATCGAGTTCTTTTAAGTCAAGGAACAGCGTGTATTTCCATTCAGGATTCTCATCGTTTTGTTTTTTCAGTATTTTTAGCTCAGTTGTTGTTCCTAGACCAGCTTCTCCAGATATAAAAACTGCTTTAAATTTCTCCTCTTTTACTTTACTAACAATTTTATTGCCAGATATCTTAAAATCATTATAATTAAAATGATGTATAAATGTTCTTTCATAAAAAGAGTCATATTGATTGTCTTTTATTGTCTCTTTCTGCTCTATCAATTTTATTGCGTGTTCCTTTTGTTCGAACTGCATTTTAAGGGTTTCACGAATATCTAATATTTGAAGTTCCAATTTTTTTTTATCATTTTCATGCTTATTTACAAGAGCGTCAAACTTTTCAATACTTTCATTTCTAAACTGAATTTCGTCTATGGAATCAACTTGAATTGGAATGTTTACAGCAAAATTTCTATTATAATTTAACAGAAATGTGTAACGATTAATTCCTGATTCTGTTAACTTTTGTTGAATAGATTTTAACATTTCGGCAGGTTTGGAAATACAGTGGATGACAATATAAGGATTTGATATCAAATAGTAACTGTCAACAACTTTCTTATAGCATTCATCATTTAGCAAGTCATCAATGGTAACGAAAATACCTTTAAATCTAATATCATAAAAATATTTATACATTTGTAGTAATGGATGGTTTGACATTAGAAAATATGATTTTCTATAATCTGGTCGAAGGCCTGCCAAAGCATTTTTCATATATTGTCTATCTTTTGGGATTAAGTTTAATGTTTTAAATAGTTCAGAATTTTCATTCAAATTTTGTTTCAATCTAAGAAGTGGAAGCTGTTGAGTGAAAATATCAAAATCTATGATCTTCGTAACAAGGCGATTCTTTATTATATCAGAATGATCATCAACATTATTTACAATTCCTGTTGCAAAATCTTCCAATCCTTGACAAATTTCATAAATAAATCTTTCGTCATCTTCATTTGTTGCAAAGCAATAAATTTTTCTCTCTTTTATGTCAATTGAGATTTTGTTATATTCATGGCTCCTACTCATGCAAGGATTTATCATTCTAAAATTTTTAGTCTCAAAGTCGAAAAATATTTCTAAACCCTCACATGCATCTAAAATTTTTAAAGCAAGGTCAAATGTACAATGGGCTTCACTTACTTTCTTAAGTATTTTGGCTATTGATGCACTATATTCAATAACTTTTATTTTGGGTATTGATGAACTATGATCTTTCATAACTTGGGATTCTGGAGTACAAAACGATAATTTACATTTATTATACAAACTTTTCAAATAATCATGTTCAAAAAAATTTGAATCTTCATGAATTCTCACAAGAGACTTTGCATACTTATCGTGAATATCTCGAATTGAATATAGTAACACTTCATCATAATAATCATCTGTATAATAAGTGATTGAAGGGTTAGAATAACTTCCTATTGAAACCAAAAGGTCATAAGCATACAAGTTTTTATATTTTATGGCAGTAGCCGCGGCGGAAACATTTTCACTATTGTAATAATAATCACCATACAACGAATTATACAGATTTGATAGAAAAAGTTTCATATCACGTGTTTTTCTATATTGAATATCAATATGGAAATGTTCAAGTTCTGCATTAAAAATGTCCTCACTTGAGATATTCCTGTAAAATGCTTTATTTTCAATATTCTTCACATCGCCAATACCAGCTTCATCTGTTGCTTGTGTTTTTAATTCTTCTGAAGCTTTCAAAATTGAATTCGAAGATTCTTCAACTAGTGACTCATTGTCTTCATCTTTTTTGGACAATCTACGTTTTTTAAGTTTTCCTTTTTCCTTTATAAAACAATTGCTTCGATTTTTCCATCCCCAATATAATAACACTCCTAATCCAACAGAAGTTAATATCACTTTCCACAAACTCATGATCCTTTATTTTAAGTAGATTTAAAGTTAAATTTTAGCAAGTAGGTATTTTGATATTTAAGCAATCAGTAACCTGAATTATCTAAAACTGCGAAAATCCTTATCAAATTACTACACACACTAATGTAATGAAAAATTTTCATTGAAAACTAATGCTGCATTCTAGTACTTCAACTGATTTGAATTTTATTCAACTAAATTTATTATGACTCTAAAATAGGTATTTAACATAAGAAATTGAAGTCACAAGAAAATATAAGAGAGTGTAAGTGAAACTTTTTCAATGTAAATACACGATCATATGATTTTTGTTTACAATTTTTCATCTTCAATTGTGTGTAAAAGTTTCTACGCTTTAGACTTGTTATTATTTCAATCATTAGAGTTCTGTTTCAGAGTTTAGTTATTTTACGAAGTTGTCTTATCAAGAGTGCTTTAACCACTCACTATTTCAATTTTTTAAACGTCAACATTGTGATTAGAAAGTTACTTGAGTTTTTATCTAAATCAATAGAATTAAATTCACATTATGTCTTCTTCAAGCATTGATTTAAACGCTTGCTATGATCTGGTTATGCAACTTGTTAGTCAATCAGGCGAGGTAACCATGACTTGACTTTTATTCATCAATTTATAAACATTTATAGGACATTTATTTAGATCGTAGCAGCACGAAATTCCCAGCGGAAAACTGTTCAAATTAAATCCCATCCCACTGATTTTGTGACTGAAACTGATCAGCAAATAGAAAAACTTCTAATTGATGGAATCAGAAAGAAATTTCCTGATCATAAATTCATTGGAGAAGAAGAGTCAAGTGAAGGAAAGAAAGTTCAATTGACGGAAGCTCCGACATGGATTATCGATCCTATTGATGGCACAATGAATTTCGTTCATAGTTTTCCTCATTCAGCAATATCAATAGCTTTGTTAGTAAATAAAGTAACTGAAATTGGAATTGTATATAATCCAGTTCTTGAACAAAAGTTTACTGCACGTCGAGGACAAGGAGCTTTTTATAATGGAAAGCGAATTCACGTTTCCGATGAAACAGATATAACAAAAGCTTTAATTATGATTGAATTTGGTACAAATCGAGAAAGTGATAAAGTCAAAGTTGTTATGGAGAATCTCAACCTGCTTGTTCGAAAGTGTCATGGGTTTGTTTGCTTTCAGATATACCTAATTTATGATTGTTTTTCATGAATTTCATTTTTTTTGTAGGATGCGTTGTCTTGGTGGAGCTGTTTTAAACATTTGTATGGTTGCATTGGGAGGAGCTGAATGTGCATTTGATTTCGGTGCTCATGCTTGGGATTATGCAGCTTCAGAATTCATTGTGCGTGAAGCTGGTGGTGTCACATTAGATCCTTCTGGAGGGAACTTCGATATCATGTCGCGACGTTTATTGGTGGCAAATAACATGGAAATGGCTAATCAGCTTGTTGCAGAAATAGTTCAATATTATCCATCTCCAAGAGATGATGAATAAAAAATGTTTAAAATATAAAATAAAATTATCTATAAAACGAGAACAAAAAATTTTTCTTGCCGAAACCCGGGATTGAACCGGGGACCTTTAGATCTTCAGTCTAACGCTCTCCCAACTGAGCTATTTCGGCACGCTTATGCTGTAAACCTTGCTGACAAAAGTGTTTTATAACGTATATTTCATTACATAAGCTTTAATGTTTATAGATATTGATAATATGGTTTTAATGAAATAAAATGAAGCCTGAAATAATTAAATAAAACATATTTTCTTTTCATTAAATTTGTCACAAAATCATCATGACAGACAAACTAATCGAAGATTTTAATTACTCTATCAGATGTTTTTAAGAATAAAAGATTGCATAAATTAAATATTACTGTATTTTTAAGTTATTTAATTTTGTCTAGATATTATTAAAGAAATTTAAGAATGAAAATACCTAGTAAAAGAAAAATAAAATTGTTTTCAAACGTTTTTTCAGATCGATTTGATGTAAGTAGTTCAAAGAGCTTCCGCAAGAGGGCAAGTTTAAAACAAACGTAAATACGAAATACTCTTTTAAGAATTTCTTGTCTGATTAACAATGAGAAACGTTCTAACTTACAAAAAATTTAACTTAAATAAAAGAACTTAACAATAAAAAGAAAACTAGAGAGCTGTAAGAAACAGTTGTGACGAAGAAAGCGAAATTTCGTATTATTATTTTTACAAAGAAAATTAATCAAGGACAAACAATGGAAGAAAATAGAAAAATTCCTATAAAAATTGCTGAGATTTCAATCAAAAAATTCAACGATCAAATACAACATAAAGTGATACAATTGAGAAACTTCCGAATATCAACATCTTCTGCATCAAACTTGGGTGATTTGGATAAATTAAGAAAGGAAGCGATAAATTCACTTCGTGTTGTGAAACAATTAAAACAACTTCTGATTGAAATCGAACACCTTAAATCACAAACAAAATCAGAGGATCATGAGAAATTTGACGAGCTTACATCAAGACGTCGCAATGAAGCCCTGAAAGAGATTAAATTATATCAAGGTGATGATTCATTCTTAGAATTGTTTGAGAAATTTACTTAATTGATTTGATCCCTTTTTTCAGACATGAAACCAATTGAGAAACTAAATGAATTATCGCCATCAGCAACTAGTGACATAGACTATGAGTCACCATCTACTGTACAAATAAACAATGACTTGATGCAAGTTCAATTACGTGTCGACGAAGATGCAATAAGGAGAAAAGAATTGGAATCAAGACAAGCACTGTGAGAAATCACAAGATTTGAATTTATTAAAGAATTTTCAATATTTTTCTTCTTTTAGTTTAAAAGAATTCGAAAACTTACAATCGGAATGCGAACAAATATCTCAACTTTATCACAATGTTCATGGACTTGTCGTTGAACAAGCTCCAATGGTTGAAGCGATTGCTGAAAACGTGGAAGAAACTGAAATACATGTAGAAGAAGGAACTCGCCAGCTTCAAATGGCCCTTAATTATAAGAAAACTATTTATCCAATTTTGGGTGGGTTCATCGGAGCTTGCGTTTTAGGACCCGTAGGCCTTGTGGCAGGATTGAAAGCAGGTGGAGCAGCATCAGTGTGTGGCGGGATCTGCGGTTATGCAGGTGGAAAATTCTTAAAGAAAGCAAACTCTCCCAGCAATGAACCTAGTCCTACCAAAGAAGACCCACCTGATGATTTTCAATCAGCCGCTATCATCAAATAAAATATCATTTTAAACATGTGATAATTATGACAGAAATCATTTGACTTATTTACACGTTATTCATATTTTAATGATTTCGAATATAGATTAACTATAAAATAATGTTCATAAATAAATATCTGATTTACTGATAAGGAAAAAATCTTTTGACCTAAAAACACGAATGACTCTCAAACTGTTCAGCAAAGAAAAGTTTTAGAATCTCTGCCTTCAAGTCAATTGACATCATTTTCTGAAAGAAATTTATAAACAAAACAATTTTTATTGAAATTTTGATAAAAGATATGTTTATTCTTCAAACGACAACTAAATTTTAAGAGAACCTTGTCAGAAAAATTTATTTAAATTATTTACAAAATTTTCTTTCATATGCTTTTACACAACAAAAAGTTTTCCAAAACAATAAATGACACAGGAAATTATTAATAAATTTTAAACAGCAAGGATTGTTTGTTTTTAAGTTTGACAGAAACTCTGGATTTACATTTTTTTATCTTTTCCAGCCTCAATAATTAGATAATTTATAAATGACTTTGGAAATTTGAAAACACACAGAACGAGAAAAGAAATTATTTTATTGACAATCAGACAAGAAAGGATGAAATTTAATTTAATGATAATAAGTTTATTAACATTTTCGGCTATTGCAAAGTTTATAGACACGTCTTTTTCATCTTCTTTTTTTACTATTTTTTCTTCTTCACATTCAGGTTTAGGTTCAATCAAATCTAAACACTTCACAGAAACATCGGAAGTAATTTTTTTAAGCTTCTGTCATTAAATGTTTTCCTGTCTCAAGGAATGAAAATTTGCTACATTTCATTTGAAGATTTATTCTTGCTTTATTATTAAAATTGTTTATAAACAATTGATTTACTACACAATCATAGGTTACTTGTTGCATGTGAAATAAAGTTTTTGTTTGAAGTTTATCAGCTTTTTTGTTAGAAATATTATTTCGTTAAATTGTTGCTAGATTTTTCGTTTTCAGTTTGAGTAAAATTTCAAGCTATTGTAGATAATATTGATTTAAAAACTGTTTCAATCTTATTCGACACATTTCATCCATTCATTCCTTTAATCTGTTATCAAAATTCATTAATGAACTATTCGTACGCTTTCACAATAAATTTGCGTGGGAGAGGGAAAATGTTAAGGAGACAAAAGCTTCTCTCTCGCATCCATCGACAGCACCAAGTTTTTTTTAATGTTAATGTCCTCTGTTTAAATTCTATAATTAATAAAACTTTCTTGCTTCACATTCAATTCTTTCCTTTTGCTATCAAGCGATATGTTAATAACATCATCGACACCATAAATCTTTCCATTTATCTAATTCTTAACTTCTATTCGAAAAAATGAGTGTTTTTCTTTTTGTTTTAAGCATCTTCTCTTTTTATCTACTTAGCAAAACATTTTAAAATTAAGCAAACATAAAAATTTTCGTTAACTTAATGAAGAGAAAATAAAGTGAGATTAAAATGAAAACAATTTTTTTACGTTTGCGTGGGTGTGTTTTGTGCCAATGAACAATTTTCAGTTTTTCATCAATAAGAGATATCACATAGTAAAAGAGTCCATAACTCGCGCCTCTCAATAGCATCCAATGCTAATTTCTTTTTTCGAATAAACATTAAATCATAATGTGCGATCGCTGATTATTGTACAATTTTTTTCTTTAATTTTTTTTACTACCTTAATTAAAATCGATCTTTCACTTTCATAAAGTATTTGTTTTAATCAAGAAGACAAAAAATAATGTTGAAAAAAGGTTTCTCTAGTTTTTTTCTCATTATTTGGAGGAAGAACACTATCAGTGAATTGTTTTTATCTTTATATTTATGGCCGCGAAAATCTTCTTTCTGTTTGTTTTAGTTTTCAACATTTTCCTTTTTACTACGGCCATCACAAAGAGACGATAATTAAAATTTGAGTTATATATAATTTTTCATTTCATCTTAGATATTTGGCAGAAAATAGTTTCTAATTATTTTTTATGTTGTTTTTAATAATTATTAGAATGTGCCAATGATCAAACTTATTGCAAGTCTTCTTCTGATTTTGGAATATCGAAAATTTCCACAAATAATGGCGGTAATCGTGACGACATCTGCCAGTTAATTCGGAACCAATCGAGATGATTAAAATGACGAAGGCCTAGTGAACGCAACTCCATTATTTTAGCTTCTAAAGCTGGCATAATTTGAAGTGCATTTGCTGTGTTAGGCCTTGATCTGATGATTTGGACTCTCAGTGCTTCTGCCACACGTTCCCGAGTTTTAAGAATAAGCTTTTGCTCTGTGATTCCGGGACGATCAGCTGCTAGTAAAATTAATGCTGAATATAATCCAATTTCTGTGTCACTTAAATTACATGCATTGAGTCCATTTGCAAAATTGCAGAGGGCATTCACGAAGTCGGCCTATAAAAATGAAATTAAAAAATAAAATTAATAAATATAATAAATTTAAAATAAAAAAAAGATTTTTGCCGAAACCCGGGATTGAACCGGGGACCTTTAGATCTTCAGTCTAACGCTCTCCCAACTGAGCTATTTCGGCAACGAATGAATAGAATATTCGTGTGGCAAACAACATTTTTGATATGTGTGCGAACATCTTCATTGATTATTTTTCCTTCTTCTTATCATTTGCGATTTCACATTCATTTCTTTCCAAAATCTTCAGATGCATGAACAGAATCATAGTGAAAGTTGATACTTACATCATACATAATCTCCAATTGTTGTCGTGTCAAGAACGTACCATCGTCGAATGTTAGCGTCATATCGGTGGTTGTCTTTGCAATATAATTCAGCCATACTTCGAAAAATCCTAATTTAATTAATATTAATTGATCGTCTTGTGTGAAATCACAAAATCCAGGTACACGTTTTGCAAACTCAACGACACGTTGCACCAGCGGTGTCATACGGAGGGCATATTGTTGCCAAAGGAAAATACGTTGATGTTCCATCGAATCAACATCAGATGTTGCCTTCTGTAATAAATAAATTGGCAATTAGCTTTCATATAAATACATTTCAGAGAAAAAATGATTGAAACTCACCCCAACTTCATCCATTGAACTGTTTTGTGTTGTCGATGATGACGTTATTAAATTATTCGTGTTAATGGTGGATGCATTTGATGGATGATGATTATTTGGCATTGTTAACGGACGATGATTAAGTCCTTTTGTAGCACTTTCAGTATATGTACAGTGCGTCCGATGAGCTTGAGATACGCACAATATCACGTCATACACCGACAGCTCTTGATTATCATCCGAATTGTTGTTATTGTTGTTGTTATTATTATTATTGTTATTATTATTGTTCATATGCGATGCTTCAATCATATCTGAACTAATATACGCGATTTGCTCGATCGGTGGAGTCGTAGTGGTGGTTGAACACATTTGTGATGAGACCAAAAGGGCAGTTTGACCGCTGCCTATATCATTTGATGATGCCAAATAAGTCGTTGAAGTGCTGGTGGCAATGGGCGTTGATGTAGGGGCGGTTGACGAAGATGAACTGACAGAATTGACGACACGAATGTTTGTCAAGACAATACTTGCGTTCTGCTGATTACTATTCACGACAATACCATTTGATAAATCGTCGACAATTGAATTGCCTCCTATATCACGAGTTCTTTTTGGAACGCGACCGTAACGTACAGCTGTAGATGAAGAAGAAAAAGAAATGAATTCATTATTAAATTAAATTTACTGTTAAAAGTTTTCTTATTGCTTCTGATCGACTGAGGTGAATGAATTCTTGTGCCGTGCTAGCATTTTACGAGCTCCGTTTAATTCCAAACTCAAACTCGTTGAAAGACACGACACAGGAAAGGAAAACCGCAAAGCTTCTCATGGCAAAAAATATATAATAATAAAAAAAGTGAAACTGCATTTCCGCGTTGTGTTGAATGGTCGAATGCAAGCAACTTTTGCTTTTCTTTTGAATATTTATTGTCTGCCCACTGCCGTTTCTTGACTACATGGCTCGTTCGTACTTATTTGATCTCGTGATCTAACAATGAATGGAAAAACTTCTTTCTTCCCGTTTATTTTCTTTATTTCTTCATGCTGCACTCGCTTTAATTAAATCAAAGACATAACCATCATAAGAAACTTTCGAAATTCGTCATCTGCTTGAACAGCGATTTATCATTTTTGAAAAACTTTTATGCTTTTCATTAATCATTTGTGATGTTTGTGTTCCCAACAATCACTGCATCATTCATGCACTTTTAGTATGATTCATTTAAATAAATCAAATACCAACTCTTTCTTTCTTTCAACTTAAGTTATGTTCGCTTCATTGTTGTTCCGACATTTAATGTTTGATTGAAAAATGAGAAATTTAAATTTCTTCCTACGTTCCATGTTTATTTTACCACATAAGTTTCTTTAGTAAGTGATCTCGCTTAAGCATAACATGTCATGTGCAACTGAACATCTGAGAAACTTTTTTTTTCTTTCTTCTGTAATTACAGTTTCGCTTTTATTTCTTTTTTAGCCGGTTTACGATAAAAGTAAATAAGTGTGAGATTGCAAAGCTTTTGAACATAGGAAACACAACAAATCATGTTCATTGACTCCTCACATTTTATTATGTGCATAACGATGCATGTTTCCAACAGTTTTCTTCTTCCTTATGGTTGTACTCGTAATATTTTATGCTGCTGTTGCAGTTGATTGTGAAAGCGAGTATGAAAACGTGTTGCAACAGCGACGGATTATTTATTCGAATAACTATGAATTCTACGTTGGTGAAAAGAGGAAACTCATCATAACTTTTAGTCATTATATCTAATGTTCAAAGTTAGAAGCAATAAAAACTGTTTCACAAAGGAAATTGACAAATTCAATCATTGCCAATTAAAGTGCCGCAGCTTAAAACCGCACAAAAACATCAAAGAAACTTTTTTTTATATTTTTGTACTTTGTCGCTCTCGATTATTTGCCAAAAAGAGAAATTAAATTTTTCCTTCATTAATGAAACATCATAATTGCATTTAAATAGCACCCACCACATCGTCGTTGAAATATAATACTTAAACTACATTTCATGTAATAAATCAAAGCTATTTGGTTGCACCTCAACTGCAATCTCATATTTTTCTCTATTGCAATATCTCAGACATACATAAATCTTTATACTAAATGAAAATGTTTTCTATTGAATGGTATTTAAAGTTTTATGAGTTTTTCCTGGTAATGTATGGTTGGTGTAACTTCAAGTTAATTCAATTTAATGCATGAAAATAAACGATCATTATTGAATAGTGCTTTTTAAACCAGGCTAACAGAACTTAAAGTTATGTAAATGATAAATAATTTTACATTACAACAGATGCATTACATTACAGAGAAACTCTTTTTTATTATCTTTTATATTTTATGACTGTAGGTCGCATATATCCTTTCACGTATTTAATTAAATAACAAACAAAAGCATGCCGATGGATAATTTCAAACTTTCTGTAATAAAATGCATTTATAAGCTGAGTCATCGACGACTTTCAACCTGTTGTAGTATCAAATTGATTCATCAACAATAATCAATCTTTCACTTCGAGTCTGTGCGGCGCTTTAAGGCATTCATCGATTTTTTTGTAAATAACTTTTTATTTTCCAGCAAAAATTAAATGCAATCCCACAAAAAAGCAAGAGCGATATCACAATATTTGAATAGCTAATTCACTTGTGTATTAATAAATAGCTTTAATGCATTACTGTAGCATTGGACTGCAATATGAGTTTGTTAGCCTTTCAGTGTTTAGTTTTTTATTATTTTTTTTTCTAGTATTAAACGCGCTATAAATAATAAATTTTCTATGGTTTTAAAATCGCCATTTTCTGAGCTTCAAAGCTTGGCATGACTTGTAATTTTGATTCGCTAAATTAAATGCAATGTGTAACCTTCTTCAATCTCATTTAGATTCATTCTTCATTTATCCGTGTCGTGTTTCAACTTTGTTTCCTAACATACCTGTCTGATTAGTGTCAGAAAAGCTTTTAGCAAGTGGCAAGTGCCAAGTACCTAGTCGCAATTATCTTATCGTCTTCTCTCCGGAAAAATCAACGTAAGAAAGTTTGCAATAAGAATGAAACAAGCGAGAATACATTAAATCTTTAATTTCTTCATTTACTACTTTGCTCGCTTTTTTTTTCTTTTATCCACCTCAACCCAAATTCCAACTTCATTTTATTGCTACGGTTAGAAGCTAGCTTCGCGAGCTAGATGCGATTGCAGTGTGCAAAACAAAAATAAATATACGAGCATTGAGAACGAGACCGAAACGAAAGGTTCAATAACCAGCCCTCAAAAGCAAAATAAAACTGAATAAAAAAATGCACTTTTCCATTGTTTCGAGTTGGACGAGTAAATAACCTCGTACTCGCAATTGCAAAAAAAAATCATTTGCTTTTAATATTGCGCGCCGAGTTTAAAGTAATATCCAACGAAGAGAACATAAAAGAATATGAGAAGGGAAAAATATTTAAATGCATACAATTTTCCATTAAAATGATTATTTCTGCTTTCATATCATATATTGAACTATTCATTTCCTGGATATAAAGTAAAATGCCTGCGAATAAGAGTTACGAGTTGTTGCGTTTGGCTTTAAAGTCAGTCAAATGTTATCTTTTAATTTCCAAATGCATCGCTCTTAATTTTCATGAAATGCATAGGAAAAAAGTAAATCAAGTGAGAAGTGCATGTTGTTGATGAGACGACGAGAAAGACGAGTCATCATTATTCAAATTACTCTTTGCTCTGATACTTAAATATGTGGTAAAATGTTTCACATAAATTCCAGACGAAGCGTATTAAGTGTCGGATGAGTAGAGAAGATTGTGACGATGTGTCTAGTTACCCTTTCACCCCAATTTGCATATATTGTAATAAGATAACATCATCATAGACGGCATCAATATGACATCGACCGAATCAAGCAATAAAAACATGAACCGAGACGGAGAGTAAAGTATCTCGTATGTCTCATGAACTATTCGCCACTCTGTTGCTTCTAAAATTGCATTTCCCATCACTAGACAAAATGTGATGTGCAAAAAAGCGACACACATGAGAGATCATTGACCTCATGCAAAAAAAGAAGCTTTTGTAAAACATAAATGTTTAAATGTTGTGGAAAATGTAAAATGCATGACTGTCATCGCCCACTCATCCATCCAGCCAGAGGTTAAAAATTAATTCACCTTTCCACTTTTATGTTAAATGTTTATATCAAAGACATGCTTGAGTTTAGAATCGTTTTTCCGCTCTTTGTTTTAGCTTAACATTTCAATGACTGATACGTTGCACTTTTAAGAAAGTTACATATCATCAGATTCATTTATCCTGATGCTGATTAACTTCAAATTGGTATGGGTGTGCACGTAACATCAGCAACATATTATGTAAATAAATATGTGCATGATGTTGTTGATATTATTGGCAAATCAAGTTAAGAGACATTGTCTTGTTGTGTGCATTAAACACTTGCACAGTGATATGTATCTGCGCTTGGCATATGAAGTAGTTGCAACTTGCAATGTTTGAAATGAGAAAAAAGTGCAGCCAATTGAGAGAAGAAGAAAAGCCTGAATCCGACAGACAAAACGTGTTTATGCAGCATAAATTTTCTGTTTCGTAAATGAAAAAGAAAAGTAGAAAATAAAAGAAAAAATTTCTGTTTCATTTTGTCGGAAGTGCATGGAACGGAAAACGATATTGCAATAAAAGTGAATTTAATTAACTTTAAGATACTTGAAACATTTTGTATTTGCGGATGGTGAAAATGTTCATTGCATAATGGAATGCAAATGAAGGAAAGTTTTGTGATAAGATCATCGTAATGAAAATTTGGGTTAAATATTTACACATTCTCTGAATTCACAATTGAGATCAGATGAGAAGACAACTACTCGACGAGAACTTTCATCTAGGTTGCTTTTTCACTTCAGGGTTCGTTGAACTTCCAAACAGAGACGAGAGACGAGAAACGTGCAAGTCAAGTCAGAATGAGATTCCATTGAACATTCCAATACGCCAACATAAATCATGAATCAATTGTTTCGACAATAGCTTCGATGTGCTAATTTCTGCAAAATGCCAAGCATAGTCAAAGCAAATGTTAAAACTGCACATACGATTTGAAAGAAAACAAAGTTTCATATTTCCACGTTAATTGGAGCAATGCACGCTTTGAACTTTCTGTGCTGCTCAGACATCGGAGACATGAGCAAAAGAATAAAATAAAATAAAAGAGAAATAGGAACACTGACCCGTTAAGTGTCTGAGTTGACTTTCTGATGGAAAGAAATTCACGAAATTGCAATCAAAACTAAAATAAAAATATACTAACAAGCCCAGTTTTTTCTTTTTCTTTTTAAACTTAACAAAGCTTCCTCACTTGAAATCAAATGTAATTTAATTTTATTGTTCATTAAGTAAGTAGGCACTTTAACTAAGTAGAACTCCACTAAGTACGTGACTTTTTGCTTAAGAATTGTAAACTACTTACTTATAAGCTCAACTACTTCATCTTTTATTTTCCCTCGACATTTCATTCTTTCATCATCATCTTTAAAGCTCAATCAACATACTTCTCCGGTTTCATCTACATCTTTGTTGACATTTTTCTTAGTGCCGAATGAATATTTTATGGATTTATGCTCGATGCGTTCATTCGCCTCGATGGATATGCTTCGTTATACTCAACAGGCTAAAAGGGCGATGACTCGAAAATGCGTAAAAACAACTGATTAAATAAGAATACGCCTTGTGACGAGAACTGAATTCTCAACATTTCTTTTTTGTTTCTTCTTCTTTTTCTGCTCATTTTCTTCTTTATTTTCGCCGTAAACATTGAGAGCATGTGAATTTGTGAACAGAACAGAGAACGAAAAGAAAAATAACACCAGTTAAGTATCTTAAATATTCTTTATCGAGTTCTTTCTCTATTTTCTTTTAATGAGAAAACTAGCATGAATTCCCTCAGCTTAAGTCCAATCAACTTCAAGTCTAAGTAAAATTTGATGTTAAGCAACAGATTCAATTTTTATGATCGGCCTTTTTTACTTTATTTTATGTGGCAGCTTCTTTATTAAAGTTCGAATAACAACATCAATAGAAATGTATGCCATTGATATTCTTTTCAGCTTACGCTCGACAAAATTGGCGTTCGCGCGCTCAATGAAATAAACAACCGTTGATCGGACGATGAACCTAATTAACATTAAAATGCCGAACGATGAGCTAGAGATGAGAGTCATTGAATTCCAAAACCCGCACCCGAATTTTGCTTAATTTTCTGTAGTTTCAAGTATCGACGATTAATGACTGCTAGTTTGTTTCGATCACACAAATTGTGAGAGCTTCGAAGTTTTTAAGCGTTGTTTCTATTTCTTTCAGCTCGCTTTTGAATCAGCAAATTTATTTTTTCTGTTTTTGTATAAAATGATACAAAATAAACAAATCAATGTCGCTTAGTTACGCGACTTTGTGCCAGAAATGAAAAATAAAATTTGATATCAAAAAAAAATTTTCACTCCCTCGAAACTTTCCTTTTTATCTCATTCCATAATTTCACGCATAAATTTTTGTTTTTATTTGCTAAATATTTCGCGGAAACATCTTCTTCGGTGGGCAACAATTTTAATTCAATGCATTTTTTTTTATTTTGGCAAAGTGAAACCTCATCAACATCAACCGACGATTACTTTTTTTTTTCACCCATGAAAAGATTTCGCGATCTTTACTTGTTTTCTCATGTCAAGATCAGTGAACAATACAAATGAAATCTGTACGCAAAATTAAGTCTTAATTTAATCGCTGTTCCAGTTGCGCCCCCATTGAAGCAAATTATGGGTGTGTGTGTGTGCTTAAACATTCAGCACAAGTACATTCCACCAGTCGCCCAACAATGAAGGCTTAATTTAAATTGAAGCTCACTGGTCAATTGAAGAGTCGACGATTCGGCCTAATTGCATAATTTAGTTTGAATAAATCGCTGCTGCTTCAATATCCAAAAAAAAGAACAAAAAAAAACAGAAAACAGAGTAGTTCCCTTGTTGCGCTCAAAACATTTTTTTTTCAGCACGACAATTAAATTGAGTCTGATGAATATTAACGCAATGAAGAAACAAAACGAATCGAGATCATTTACAAAGTTTGCTTGCCTGCTTGCTCGCCATTGGGGCTGCAAAGTGGATTGAGCGAGAGCACAATTCACAGCATTTCTGCTTTGGCCATGCTTATTGAGGTTACACATCAACCACGACAAAAACAAAAAAAAACGAAATGAAAAAAAAGAATTAAATAAAAATCGAAAACGAAGAATTGAAGGAAAATAAAAAATAGTTTCGGGGTTATAAACAAAAGTTCAATGAATTTGAAATAGAGAAAAAGAGTTTTGACATCTGAGTGAAAAATAATTTTTCGTTTTCTTTTTAAAGTTTGGGACACGTCATGGTCGGATGTGATGTCAGTGGAATTTCATCGAACTCATTGCACATAATCAAGAATTATTTTTAAGCAATGTGTGCGTCATCTTTAGAAAGAATTTTTTTTGTTGTGACCTCATCTGTGAATCATCAGCTGTTGCTACACATTTCTACTGAAAAGCATCGTCGTCGTCGTCGTTTGAGAATTTTTCTTTCTTCTTTCGTTCTCTGCGTCTTTAAGCCGCCCATGAATTTCATTTGAAAACACAAAATAAACACATTGCGAGTAAGCGCCGAATGAGAAGAAATAATAAGCGAAATAAAGAAGAAGAATGCAAACTGATATGCCGTGTGCGAAATTTTTTTTCTTTCAGAGCTTCATTCTTGAAAGTCAGAACAAGAAGAAAAGTCTCCCTAGAAACACGCGACGTCAAAGGCAGAAGACTTGACTTCTTTTAATGTATTCAAAAAATGACTTTCTTTGTTTGTTCTTCTCAGCTAGAATCGATTTTTAATAAAAAGAAATTTTCAAAAGAAAAAGATTCTTTTTTATTGAATTAGCACATATTGATATTTAAATAAATTGTTTCGTTCCTTACTTTGTAAGGAAATATTTTTGGAAATATAGTAAGCAATTTATTGTTTATGATGATGATGATTTAACTCTCTTTGATATAAGACTTCTTATCAGTATCATTAAAGAAAAGTTTTCTTGTTAATTAAATTATAGGCTTATGATGCTCATAAAAGTAACGATGGATACATTTGAAAGTTGTCAAGAGAGCTTAAAAGTTATTTCTGTGTAACCTTAGGTCATTCAGCCAACACAAAACATCCAGATTCTCCCTAAACTCATAAATCTTTTGCCAAGGACTTTAGCAAAAACTTCTCTCTTCGTCTCCACGAGATAATTTTAATCGTCTTCAAATATTCTTCTTCTTTTCGACTCTGCTGATCTACGCATCATAAAAAAGCGCGTGGAGTAAAACAAAGTCGAGATTCTTTAAACACGAACAACGATTTTGCATAATTTTCTTTCTTAAATCGAAAACGAAAGTTTTTTGAGTATTTTCGTCTTGTTATATTTTTAAAAGCATACGAAATGAAATGAAGAAAAAAAAAATTAAGTTTATCACTCGACATAAAGAGAAGGAAAAGTTAATTATTGAAAAATATGAATAACATTTAATAAAGCTAGGTTTGAATGAGTGAATGTGAGATATCCGTTTGGCAAAAGCAATAATAATAATGAAGTCTTAGAAGAAGACAAGAAAACATAGTTCGGTGTGTGATGAGCGAGAGAGTAATGTGCGGAAATTGTTAAGACACGACGATGATGTCAAGAACCTCGTAGATATTTCTTTATTTCATTTCTTTCTTCACTTGCTACTTGGTGGCGAGTGGCGAGTGTCGAGAAAAAGACTCAGCATCAACAGAGATTTTGAACATTTTTTTCTTTTCCCGAAATAATATAAAACGTTAATTAGCCATGTGTCTCCATTTAATGTGAATATATTTCCTGTCTTTTATATCAAATTATGACAAATTTCTTGGTTTTTTCCATAAATCATTTTTTCAATTCAATTACAATTGCATTTGCCCGAGAAATTCATGCACGACCTAAATTGATTCATTACGTCTGTTTGCACACAAAAAAAACTCTTCACGACCTCAATATACGCTGCTTGTTAAATTGGCATTTAAAAGAATTTTATTGGCGCATTTTTTTTGTAGCTTGCAGTGTTCATTTCAAAGAATTTTACTGTCTGGCACTCGCTTCTGTTAATAGGGGTGAATAAGACAATTAAAATCCAATGAAAGACGATGATGATGACTGAAAATGTAATTTACAAAGAAAGATTTCTTACTTTTGTCACTCAATGAAATATTATCACACAAGCGACCAGAGTGTAGATCAAATTGCATTTTAATGCGAATGCTTCATGGTGGTAATCCTTGTGTATCTGCTTTAATTTACTTCTTAACTATTCTTCACTCTAATTTGATCAATGAATCGAAAGTCACTGTTTATCGATATTATTTTTTTTATAACAATAAAAGTCTTCAAGATTATTATTTTATTTAAATAAGCGTCACAATGATAACATCAATTGAGACTTGTAATTAGTGGGTAACTATGAGACTTAACACTTAACTGACTTTAATTTATAATTAATGGTAATATCTCGGTCATCTAACGACGAAGATCTTTTCTTTTCACTTCTACTTAATTAATTGAACACAAATTAAGAGAAAAGTCAATTTTCACTTGGTCGTTCATTAAAAGTTTTTCTTTTCTTTCTTCTTATTTTTCACTCGATTTTCACGATTAATTTTCTTCTTTTTACTTTTCGTGTGCACAAATATTGTCGCACTCGACAACTTTTTTTTTCTCTCTCAAAATGCTTCTAGACGAGAAGGAATATAAAGAATTATAAATCATTCATTTGAAATGAGTTTATTGTCGTTGCACGAAGGCGAGACTAAAGGAAGAGTGACTTGCAACCGAGGGAGATTGAGATTAATTAAGATACATCACTTCTGCTGCTTAGCGTGCTTTATTTATAATAATCTTCTGTTGTTTCACGGAACTGTCTATGTCACGAACTTTAAAATCTCATTCGTCACACTTTGCACAAGTAAACTACAGGCACTTGTTCACTCAACGAATTTACTTTGCCTTCTGAATTGAGACTCTCAACGAATGAATGAATGAATAATCAAATAAAACACACACACTGCCCTCGAGTGAGGCGAGAACTCTTGTGAGAATTCTGAGCGTTCGAAATATGAAGAGGAATAATAATAAAATAAAAACAACAGTTATTTGCGTTCGGTTCACGATTCGAGCGCCACATGGAAAACGCTACTTCTATTTTCTTACGATAATAGTAGACTAAGAAGCAGAGAGAAAAATCAAAGAATGTACCGAAACTTTTTATCGATTTTCTTTTTTATGATGTTGACAATAGAAAGAAATTAATTTCTCTGTTTGGAAGCTTCACAGAAATATTTAAAAAACAATCTGTCGTCCGCCCGCGACGAAACTGTAAACTGACTAACGTTGCTGCACATTGATTTTCGGTTGGATTTACAGTTTCGAGCTTTTCTCGCAAATTTTCTCGTTTTCGCTCAATTTTCGTCCGCTCTCTTCAACTCTTATCGCCTCTCTTTCTCATTTTCTCTTGATTTTTTTTGTTTTGTTTCTTGTGATATTTTTTTTTTTTTTTTTCTTTGCGCAAAATAAAAAATTTCCTTGAATTTCATCTCATCGCACGCGGAAATTGGAAGTGTATTGACTTCAATCCCACCAGTGAAAATAAAGTTTTCGATTGGAGCTTTTTTCTTTCGAGTGCGGGGATCCTTTTTCCGCGCCAGAAAATTTGAAAACCTTTTTCCAACTTCCCCTTCAAGGCAATCGTGAATAATTTAGCGGAAATCAACTTATACCTATCTCGGTGAATTTCAGCTGAGTAGAATGATGTTCTTCTATCAAACGGGCGAGTGGGCTTGCAGAAAAGAAAAACTTTCTCTTATGGATGAGCGAAGAAAAAACAAAAGCCAATGGCAATGTTGAAAATTGTTGTCGTTTGATGTAATTACATTTTCAATTTTTCCTTCAACTTTGCTGTTTTGTTTTCTTTTATAATGTTTTTACTCATGCAACATACAAAGCGAAGGTTTAGAAAAAAATCAATTAATATTTTAAAAACATCTCGCATGCTATTCACTCACTGCCTTGTCATTTAATCTTTCAGAGTATGAGAGAAAAACAAAAAAAAATATCAAACGATGAACAGAGAGCGGACATGAGAGGAAAATGGCTTTGAACTAACTAAGTATCTAACTGTTACAGTTGTGTACGTTGTGCACTTTAAGTCGATACGAAGAAAAACTGAAAACTGCGTCTTCTTATATGAACTCATCTTGAGTTCTTCAACTTCTTTCCTTCAAATTCTTCGTTATGATGACCGACCGCATCTTAAGCATTTCCATGATTTCTTTTTTATTCATTTGAAATATTTTCCCCTTTCTTCTTCAACTCAAATATTTGCAAAAACGGCATAAGAATAATAATAATAAAGAAAACTTCCCGGGTGAATGAACTCAAAGTTTTAGATGAGTTTGTCGTGCTACATTTTTGTGTTATGGTTTGTTTTTTTTTTATTTTCCTTTTTTTTATATTTCTTAATAACGTTTTGCACTTTCAAGCCGTTGCCTTGATTCGTTCGTTATTATTATTATTATTATTTTGTGGGATATTGAAACGATTATTACGGAATCGAATTTCGGGACTTGGTTATTAAATGAGATGATTTCACAAATTCCCACTCACAATGATTGAATCGAATGACTTTTGCCATCACACAAATGCTGAAAAAGCAATAAACAAGAAAGATTTGTGATGACCATAGCAAGGCCTTCGTATCGCTGACTTAACAAAAATTATCTCAAATACGATTTGCCCTTCCGAGAAGATTTTCACTCTTACCTTGCGCTAAACTCATTCGATACTTTGTCCATGTTCTACATTTTCAAATCATTTGTAGTCACAACTCACAAGTCGTGTTGTTTTGATTTTTCAGCGTTGACCTCGAGGAATTTGGTCCAAAACTTAAGTTGAAAACCTACTTGAACTAACTTTTTATGCCTACGTGCATAAATTAACGTTCAGCCTTAAGATCGGTAAAGTAAACGTTTTATTGTTTCAACAGTAGCATTACCGTATTTACCCTTAAACAACTGAAATGGAAGCCTTGCAGTGTAAAAGTTTTAATTTATGAAAATTTCATCGAATTTAACGACGCAAAAATCCAAAAGTTTATTCATTTGAATTAAGAAGAGTAAAGTGAATATTTTCAAGTATCTTTTTATTGGCTGCACAACTACAAAAAATATATTAAACAAAATGTAAAGAGTTAAGAAAGTGAAACCTTTTTCTGCTTTTGTTTTCAAGTAGGTACTCGAAGCGATGTTATAAAATTTAAAAGAAGAAATTTTCGGTATCATGGGAAGATTGCAATTTAGATAAAAAATAATTAATAGATGTAAACACAATTTTAATTATAGATGATAATTATGTTGACCCAAAACTAGTAAACGGATAATTGAATTTCATTGTGTTTTGAATCTTTTTTCAATTTTATGAAGAGAATGAGTGAAGTTACCCAACCAAAAATCATCAGAATCACTAGACATGGCACAACGACAACATCATGTCTCATTTTGCTTATGCTTGAACTTTCAATCTCGAAATGTTCTTCTAAATCTGTCTGATTATAAATATCGCCTTGAATCTCCAAACTTTCATTCCTTAATTGAAATTCTTTAAGTTCCAAATCTCTCAGTTGTAATTTTTGAGATGTCACGTTCAATTCTGAAGTTAATTGAAAGATCAAAGCTGAGCAATTATCATAGGATTCTGTTAAGTTTAACTCAAGTTCAAACATTTTTGTAGACATCTCATTAATTGTTTCTTCGTAATTTGTTTTGTTGTTGTCCGCTTCAGACAGTTGTGAGGTCATTTCATCAATTGTTGAGTTACAAGAGCTTTCAACAGTCGCAAGTAAAATGTTCAAATCTTTAATTTTTCCTTCGTTTTCATTTTGATTATCTGTCAGAATCGTCAAATGTTCAACAAGATTTCCAAATGTTTCATTGAGATTCTCTTGCTCTGTTTGACATCGTGCTAATTCCAAAGTCTTATCATCAAGTTCGAAACGAATTTCTGATATGTTCTGATGCAAGCTGACGATATCAGTATAAAGTTGTTGAATTTTTTTTTGAGCTTCAGTGTGATTAGATGAGAGTGTTTGAATTTCTGATTCACATACTTGAGTCATATCAATGAGTGATGTAACATTTTTCCCGCATCGATTACTTTCTTCGATCGATGATTCAAGCTTACTTTTCATATTTCTTACATCAGCTGTTAAATTTGCCATTTGCGTTATTTGAAATTTATAATTTGTCACGAACTCTTCCAAATTTTTTTTCGAGCAAGTTTCATTCAGTGACGAAGAGAAATCTTGGAGTGTTAAATAATCTCCAGGGAAATCTTTATCAACACAAATGTTGCCTTTCATCGACAAAACTTTTACAGTCGTGGGATATTCGGAGTCAACGCTCAAAAGTTTGTTGTTATCAAGAATAACTGTCTCGATTCTTGTATTTTTTGCGAACATGTTCTTTGGAAACGCCATAAGTCGACTTCCCGTTATTTCCAAATATTCCAAGTTTCGTAAATCATAAAATAAATCTTCAGGAAGATAAGAAATTTGACTGTTCAAAATTCTAACTGTTACAACATATTTGCAAGAAAGAAACTCAGATCTTGTCAAAGATGTCAACGTTTTCGCTTGTAGATTAAACTCAATCAAATTAACAAACAGAAAACAGTTTTTCGTTGGTAGAAATTTCGTATAAGAATTTTCTTCAACCAACAACACTTTGACATTTGAATTTCTCTTTCGAAACAAATGACGTCCAGAAATTGCATTAATTGGTTGACTACTTTCATTAAAAACACTTTGCATGTTACAATTATAAATGTTGTTTATAAGTACGAAATTACATTGTAACACGACAGTTTTTGTGACGTTAACAAGAAGCGATGCGATGATGAAATTCGTTACTAGAAATTTCATCGCTTTTCTGATCCTAATTGACCGACGATTTCAGCAAAACTAAGCAATGTTTATTAAGTTTTTATGACTTATGATAAGCTTAGCATACATATGATTCATATAATCATATAAATAGGGATTAAATAGTAAACAAATCTTATTTATCTCAAGCGAGAACGAGCGAGTTAGCGCTTCAAGGGCAGCCATCTGATTTTTTCCAAAGAATTTCAAGAATTTTTATCATAAAATCCCCAACAAAAATCAATATTTCATAAAAATATCTTTGAACATAATCACATTAATATTTTATGCTAAAAATTTATTTCTTTTATTACAACCCTATATGAATCCACACAATTAAATGCCGACATAATTTATTTCAATGTTTATGTTCATCCATGTTATTCTTAAAGCACAAAATGAAACGAAAAAATTATAATAAAAATATTTTGCAATTTGCAAACCACGCAGTGACTCATTCATCTCAATTCTTACAGCCGTCGTTATCATCACAGTTGGGGTTTCATTCTTAAACTCACACATGAAGCATTAAAGTCATAAATCGCAATATCAGAACAGAAAGAGAGAACAAATTCATAAAATTATTATTTTTCATAATGCGTTATCTTGAGAAATTGTTTAGTACACTTTTCGTGTTTATTGAGGCATCGAAGTCGGTTTGCTATTTGTCGAACTACGCGACGCCAATAAAATTTAATGATGCATGATTATCGAGGTTGAAATTGATGGCGAAGACCGAAAAAGAAGAATAAATAAAAATAAAAAGTTCATTGACACTTTAAACGGTTTGTAAAGCTACTGTTATTGGTCTGTATTCACCTTTCATTGAGTTAACCCCTCAATGACATCAATTGAAGTACCTAAAAGTTAAATTCATCACTTTTCAGAACGAACGTGCTTTAAGAGGCTTCCATGTTGAACAAAATGTAAACTTGTTAAACCGCTTCACAATTGACTTTCTACGCTATAAAGCTAATTAATTATCGAAGCTTTTCTCTTTGGAATTTGGCCCCTTCTTTGCATTTCATGTTTCATTCCATTCCATTCAAACCCAAACTCTGATTGTGCTTGTGCTTGTGCACCCAAATAATCCGATCAACAATCTATTGTGTCAGCAACCCAATTATAAAATGAAATTCCAAAACGTTGCTCTCCTGGCGTGATTGTTTGTTGATACTTATTGTTATTAGTGCTTCTTGTGAAGCTTTATTTTCATTTAATAATTCAAGGCGGAGAGATTTGTAGCTTCTGTTCGAGTTTGGATGTGCGACGAGTGTCACCAAATGAAATAAGTTTCGAGACAACAAGAATTGTTGTTTTACTTTATTTTATTCTACCAAAATTAGAACATCTCGCAACGGTGATGTTTGTTGAATTTTCATTATTCTTTTAATGACTTCTCTGGTCACGACGACACCGTTTGTTCGAACGTCGAAGTTGGAAGGGCAGCGATAGGGAGAAGAGTAACGACATGCCGCCACGAGTATTTATGGCAAGAGTGCAAAGGAATGATTTTTGCAATTTGTTTTTAAATCTCGTTCTCGTCTCTCCATGAAACGTGCAGAACATGACTAGCATTGTCAATTTATTTTCATTTTTTATGTATCTCTTTCCAACTACCTACTTCTTTTCTTACAGCACTTCTGGGTTTGTTTGTTTGTTTATTTATTTGTCTTTTTTCTTTATTTCGAGAGCATTTTCTGCAACAGTTACAAGACACCTCAAGCTTTTAATCCCCAAAGCGGTGCACCAACATGATTTTCTACTTCATTCAATTTCTTCGTTTTAATGAGAATCCCATTTTTACCCAAAGTAAAAGAAAAGTTGAGTGAAAGAAAATAAAGCAATTGAATTAATGATGGAAAGAAAGACTGAAGTAAAAAAGAAATGTGACGATGACCTCTTTCGTGGGAGTTCAAAACGAGAGAGTTTTTGACGCGAGCTTCGTTCACGTAACTCTAGAAGCGAATTGTTGTTTGTTTGTTTGTTTCTTTTCTGACAGCTTCCGTGTTGACATGAATTTTTGTTTACGTTTAGAATTATTCTCTGTGGAGTGTAAGGAGATCAGTTAAATGGAATAACGAAGTGTAAGCGCATGATGGAAATAAATTTCTGTCAACTTATGAATTTTATTTTCTTTTCCCAACCCTGCATTGCAATTTTTTTTATTTTATTTCTTGTCGTTTGTCTCAATTCTCGCCTACGAAGACTTTCTCATGCACTATTAAACAGCATTAAAAATAATGATGTTTTAAATAGAATTTTATATTTATAGCGTCACGCCATGAAGAGACACGATGTGGGATTAAATCTGATCACGATGTGTGAAAAGTCGATACGCGACTCTCACAAAACTCGCCATCATTCATAAAGTAATTAAATGAGTATGACAAAACCAATATTGCGAATAACTTTTCACATACAATCTCCTCGTTGTTGACAGCTAATAAAGTTGCATTTCATCTCAGTGTGTGTACAAACAATTTTTTTTCTTCTGCGAGTTCGCTTCGCTTTGTGTTGTTTAACGACTTTGTCAAACTACAAACAGCGAAAATGCAATGAATTTAATGAATTAAAAAAAGTGCATATGGGGGAGTTAAGCGCGCTAAAAAGCAAGACATTAATGCGGCATGGCTGTAGTCACATCGTCGTGACGAGAAAAAAACCGAAACATTGAGAAATGCAGTTGGGCAACAAGCAATCGGGTGAATGCGCGCGCGAACGTCGAGATCACAATCGACACAAAATATAATTTTTGTGTATGCACTTTTTTTGGAATTTTTGTGAAAGTTTCTCGCTTGCTTGTGCTCATTTGAGTCTTGCTTTTTATTGTTTCATGTTGAAACATTTCTGCTGTTATTTCGTCTTTTTTTTTTGGGGTTTGGCCGGGCCTCGAGTGTCAATGACATTTTAACGGAATTATTTTTTTTATTTTATTGAAATGATGAAACAGAAGAGAGAATAAAAGAGTTCAGAACGTTAAAAAAACTTTTTTTTATGATGTTAACAAAATATAAGCGCACAACAGAAAACACAACAAAACCATCAGGAAATTTATGATCTGAAATTCGAGGAATGGTTAAGGCATGCATGCAATTATGTTTGAGGCTATAGAACACCATATGTTGAACCATTTTTCATCAGCAGTGGTCACTTCATTTAACTGATATTGCAAATATTTAATCGTAAGAAGAAAAGAGTTTGTCGAACAGGGAAGAAGTTAAAGTGCTATGAGCTACTTAAATGAACAGAATAGTTCACAGTTCTTTGAATAAGTTTTTTTACTTCTGCCATTCAAGTCAAATGACCTGTAAAGCGCGCGATAGTTTCTCGCATTTTCAAAGGCGACAACCCTATGAAGTTATAGAGCTTCTGACACTTTAATGACTCGTCATCGTAACAAATAATGCAGCACATCACAATTCAAAGGCGACAGAGTGAATGAGAAAAGAAATGCACATATGAAATCAGCACCTTGAGAGTCGGCGGCTGATCTTCTACATTTGTTCTCAATCTTTTTTTAATAGAAACAGCACAGTGAAGATATACGACAACGATTATAATTCCATAAATTGTAATTATAATTCACTAGAAGCGTTTATTATTTAAAGCCATTAGACTCTAATAGCGATAATTCGAGTGCAAATGAAATGCAAATGAACCTTCCAATTGCTTCCTCCCCACAAGCGATTCACTGATGTCTGACACTTGTATTTATTCCAAGTTTTCAACTCGCCTTTTGCTTACTGATTAGCGCTTATGGCTTTATGGTGATTCAGATTCAATGTACTTTGTGAAGCGTCATTTTTCATCGCTCAGATCATCGCTTTATAAATTACTTATCGCTGTTTATTTATAAGGATGAATGTTGAACAAGAGAAAGAAGGAGAAAAGCTCTATTAAGCGTCTTGTCATTGTCATTTCCTTCTGCTGTTGTCATTGTTTGTTGAATATCAATGAAACTACAGAAAGATTTGCAAAAAAGAAATCAACGAGGGTTTAAAGATTATCGTAAAGATTGCGAGATTTCTATTGTCCAAGAAAAAAATAAATAAATAAACTTTCAAACTTTTTCTTTCTTTCATTCATCTTAAAGGAATTTTTTATTCTTGATTTAAGTTTCATTCTTCTTAAAACTTAAAACTAATCATAATTCTCATTCACACTGATTGTTAAATAGAGCGAGAAATTTTTGTTTCGCACACGTCTTGACCAATTTTGATACATAAAAATTCTTATCGCAAAAATGTTTTCCTTTCAACGATTACATAATGAAATTCATTTTATCGTATAAATAATGAAACGAGTTTTTATACTTCGTCAACTGTGCAAAATTGACAACAGTAAAGTTGCTTTCAGTGTGCAGATGATACCAAAAAAAAAGAATATTATAAATTGGAAACTCGCATGTCTGATGACACAAAATCCGCGTTCATCTGCATTGCAAATCATCGGAGATTTTGCTCTTCTATTAGTTTCTTTTATAGCATACAAGCGTGTGCATGAAATATATCCATCAATTAAATGTTTCGTAATGCAATATCGCGCCATTAGAAAGTAAATATTAACAATAGCGAACGTTGATGACGAGATGTGCATTTCTAGGAAAATCTTCGCTTTACACAATTTCAAATCGGAAAATGTAAAAATGGAATTTAATATAAATTGTACTCACAGTCTCTACTCATTCCAACAGCTAAACATTTTTTAAATCTACAATATTGGCATCGATTGCGGTTCAGTCTGATTACCAAGCATTTGCCATCGCGCAAGCAACGATATTCGATTTGTTTTTGAATGCTCCGTCGGAAAAATCCCTGCAATTGATAAAATAATCTAGAAAATATAATCTTGAGATAAAAGGGTGGATGTGGATGAATGGTTCATTAAGTTACATGATTTCACATCTTCAAATATTTACAAAAGCTCACCTTACATCCTTCACATGAGGTTACCCCGTAATGATATCCTGAAAGCATAAAAGTAGAATAGGAGAAACAATTTGAAACATCTAGACAGACATCGAGTGATGTCGTTTATCTTACCGGATGCTTTATCACCGCAAACTTTGCAAGCTACAAATGTTTTTGGACCAGTCGAAGAGCTTGATGAGTTTGAGTCGGCAGCTGATGATGCAGTGTTAGCGTTTGTTGATGATGTCGGTGAGAATGGTTGACCTTCTGCAAAAGGGAATGAAACAAACAGACAAAAATAAATATTGAATAATCAATGCTGATGCTGGTAATTTAGAAACTCATTAGAACAAGTATTAATTACATTTAAATCTTCAAACATCTTTTAAAAGCAAAAAATCTGATTTATTTATTTATTTATTTATTCACGAGTTTCAACGTTCAATGAGAGAGATAATTGCAAATAATTTGTATGTTTAATGGACTTTTTCGTCTCAGCCTCTTTACATCATGTCTTTCTTCTTTTGTCTCTGTCGAGTTCGTTGAAAAATCTTCTGTGATTTATTACGACTCGTTTATCAGCAGTTTAAAGATTCTTTCAAACAAAAGAACATTTTTTTATTTGCACGGGCGAAATGAGAAACAGAAAAATGAAAAAGTCACAACTTTGTTTAACTTCTTACGAATTTATGCTTTCAACGAGTGCTTTTCTAACTTTTAATAACAAATCTTTTAGTTACACAGGATAAGATTAATGTATTTGTGCAGATGTTGAACTGCATTGGATTTACAAAGTTACATAAAAAACCAAAGAAGCTTAACTTCCTCCAATGAAAAAAGAAAAAAAATCAAGCGATTCTTTTTGTTCAAACGAAACCAAGATTTATGCAAAAGATTTTTTTTTTCACTTCCTCAATTCTTATGCAAATCAGACCTCAATGAACGTAATACATCTTTGTTCGGTGGCGCAATTAAACACCTTTCTTTAAATAACATTGAGAAGCGCTGAACAAAGAGAGATTAAAATCTCCACCGACAATCTTCCACGTCTTCAATGTGAACAATCAAACGTGGCTAGAAGTGACTTAACATGTAAGAGCAAAAGCCAACAGAGCATCACAAAAAATTACTGACGAAAGAAATGGAAAACTTCAAGCGAAATCTTATGTTGATCTTTAAACTCAAGGTTTCTATTTTCACTTGTTTTTGTGCGAAAATATTTATGTACTTACTTTTGTTTAAGCAAGCATTAGAGATTAAGTGAGTTAAGTTTCTAAAGCAGAAAAGGTTTATGCGTTTTATGATTGAATGAAAAATTAACCGTAAATTCGGAAGTAATTTTAAATTATTAGATTACGAAAAGTTACATTGATTGAATAAATCTCCAAATTTGAAGCACAACAATCGCTTTGATGATTCTTTTAATAAGATTTTTATTAACAAATCACTGGAGAAACATTAAAGTATAAGATTTACAAATAAATAATAAAAATAAGTAACAATGAAAGCATTAAGCCCTTAAACAGCCATGTCATGTTTAAATCGTTGTGAAAACATGTGATTGAAGTGAAATTTAAAAACCTTAATCATTTTGTCGACGAAATTATCTGTCAAGGGAAAAATACTTTGAAAAGCTTCTTTTGTAATTTTACCCAAAAAAAGAAGAAGAGAAATGAAAAGTATGTAAATAGATATAAACAAAAAATTTACAAAGCGTTAAACATGAAACAAGAAAATGCTAACGAAGTTATTGCATCATCAAACAATGTAGGAAGATGAAAAGCATTTTCAACATAATTCCCATTTGGATTTCCCAAAAGCGTCTTACAAATGTAAAGATATTCATTCTTGTTGGAGCATAAATATGATTGATAAGATCCGTTACTATGATGCACAACTAATAACTTTACTTTTATCTCATGTCAATCATTGATGTATAAAACGAGATATTATACAAATTCCAAAGAAGACATTAAATTATAATTGATCATAAGGCTGTTATTATTGCGTTTAAAGCTTACAGAAGTATCAAATTTCTTTGAAGATTCTTAAAGTGCTTATGAACTGTAAATACTTGATCAATTTACTTCACTCTACAAATTTGAAAATTCAATTTAAATGAGAAAGATTTGAAAAGTCTGTTTGTAAGTATATTTAAGATCGTACGAAAACAAACTAAGCTGAACAAGTTAAATGAATGCGAGGAATGTCATTTAAGAGCTTTTCTCAAATGGTTAAAAAGCGGAGAAATTTTTACATTTTTTTTGTTTGCTTTATCTTTTCATCCTGTCATGTCATTAGCACGATTTAAAGATCAAATGACGAAAAATGTTGCTACGAACACGACTAGCATAAACATAAAGTCACTGACATTTAAGCATTTTTATTTTTGTTATTATTAATTATCTAGATTAATTATTAATAAGCTGATTATCTTCTGACGAGTTCACATCGATCATAACTTCTTAATGCAATCTTCTTTTTTAATAAATTTTTCTTTTCCTTCTTATGAATTGGTATTTAATTAAGACTTGAATAAAAATAAATCATAATAATTGTAATTTTCTCTGGAAATTTATAAACTTGTAATTTTAAATGTTGTAAAAGAAAATATCAATAGAAATTCTTGGGTAATATCTTTGATAAAAATATTGATGATTGTTATGTAATTTCAAGTAATTCATTATTATTAACAACAGTAATGATCAATTTGAACTTTAATTTTATTTAGTGCTACGAATTGTTAAGCGTGCTTTGTAGAAAGAAATCATTCTGACTTACACCACAGACTCTCAAACTTTTCTGTGCACTTGCTTTAAACATTTTCTTCTTTCTGTCGTTTTTATTCAAATTACTCTAATAAAAAAGTTATATTGTAGCTAATAAGATTTTCTTATGGAAACAGGTAGAGTTTCTCTTTCATCATTTCGTGCGGAGTTTATTCATTTACCTGTAAATTTATTTAACTTGAATCAAAGCCCATCCCAGCGAATAATTCACTCATTCATTTTTAATCTCTATCCATTACATATCCCACAAACTAATTTCATGTCAAAATTAACTCTTTTGTATTTTTTTATTCAGTTGTTGAGTGTAGGTGCTAATAGGTAGAATATGAGAAAGAATTGAATGAGAGAGGCACGCTGAAGATTATTTTCGGCAAAAGAAATTAAATGGCAATTTTTCATGAAATTTAATGGTAATTCCGTATCAAAACAAGCAAGATGAATCGAAAATGTGCGTGATTAATTGACAGAAAATTTGGTAAGCTAGCGAGAAATCTAAGGGCATGATTATGATTTATCATTTTATTCAAAAATATAATCTAAAGATATTAAAACGCCTGTGACGTTATTTATATTAATTAGACAACGACACAAAGAAACGTCCCGACGCATATTAACATGATTTTGACAACAAAAATATTAAATTTGATTGTTAATAAATTGAAAAAACAACAACCAAACACATCTGTTTGTCAATTTTTTGTGCAAACACTTGGATGAAAATACAATGTTAATAAGTTTGGAATTAAAACATTATCCGTTAGGTCGTTAAACTCCAAACCAGTCGAACGAATGTTCGATTCTCGCCATTCCCTCTATCGCAAAACAGCTTTTGTTTATTTATCTGATGCTAACACTGCTACCATGTGTTTAATGAGAAATCAATATGACGCAAATTGCGTAAAATGCAAATTGAAGAATTTCCGAATGAGATAATAAATCGCAACTCATTAATAGCTATTTCATGGATGCTAAGTTAATTAACAAGATTTCCTAAGTGTTGGCAACAAATTAACATAGCGAAATTATTAATCAAACCATTTTATGAGCATTTAAAGCGACAACTGAATACAAATCATAACAGATTGTTCTAAAACGAGCATTTTTTTGTGATACAATTAAGTAAAATGTAAAACAGGTTTCTACCGGATCCAAAATGTCTTCAAAAATAGCCTAACGGAAAGAAAAATAAGATTGAAAATCCAATGAATTAATATTCAAGAATCTCTTCGAGTTGAAAATTTACATTAATTTCAATATTATTAAGAACATTTTTTGCGCTTTCTCACTCTCATCTTTTATTGAAATGAAAACATGTTTAAGAAATATAAAAATAACTGAGTTAAACATTTCTAAACGCGTTTTAGCTTCACAAAACATTTTTATTATCTTAGGCAGATAATTTTTTTTTCTTTTTTGAAGAAACAAAATAACGATAACAAGCTGTAGATATTTTTCATCCCAAACAAGTATTTATATCCTTGCTAAGTCTTAGCTAAAACAAATCCTTGCTGTTAGAAACTCGCCCTCGCAAAAATAAACGAACGTAAAAAAGCTCTTGATTTCATAAACATTCTATTGCATCATTATTTCTACATGGAAACATATTTATACATAATTCAATAGGTTTCAACTTCCATTCTATCCCAATCTACTTAACAAGAAATGAGTTTTCATGAGAAAAATAAACACTGAGAAGAGAAAAATGTCATTGAACTTTCTTTCGCCGAAAGGTAGCAAGATCATTAATTTGTTATGATGCTTCACAACTTTCGTAATAATATTCAAAAGTTTGTGTAATCCAAGAAACTACCTACGTAGTTAATCTTTGGATATGATTTGTTGATGTTGAAAGGAAGTATCGTACTTGTAACTTACATAAAAGAGCTTTTCAGAGAAGTTATGAAACATTCAAACATCAAAATTCGATAAAGAGATTAAAAGAATGAATGTACATTTACTTAATTAGGATAAATTTACCAAAGCTTTGAATGTAAGTATGTACATTACAGAATTATTTGTTAGGGATTTTGGGCAAAGATCTTTAGGCAATGGAAACGAAATTAACCAAACATGCTACTTAAACCTTACGTTGCTACTGTCAACAGCAGACTGCTTTTAGATATGTCACATGCGATAATTCCAATGAATCTGATGACAAATGTTTCTGATACTTGCTGCCCACGTTTTCCTTTGAAAACAGAAAGATTCTCAAACGACAAAAGCAGCATGAAGACAACTTTTAAAAGAGAATCGCTTCATACATGTATATACATCTTTTCTTTACCTTCCATGCCACGTGAAGATATTTTCTTTATAAAAAAAAGTCATATTTCTGATGAAATGAAAAGAAATGACGGAAAAAAGATTCGACATCTGTAAGACTTTCAAAAGGGTCGAGAGCTTTAGCAAGAGAAAAAAAAAAGCTTCGATAAAAAAATATTTAATAATGCTTTGCAGAAGCCATCACCGAAAAGGAAATTTGTGGCTTCATAAAAGGATTTTTTTTTCTTTGACAAAACGACGGAATTTTTTTTCTTCAATGCGATAGCACAATGAATGGCGGAGAAATATTATCAGGAAGAAAAAAGAGTTGAAAAAAGACATTTTTGTGAAAGAGTTATTTCGTCTCGGTAGATACAGAAATGAAATTTTTTTGCGGCTCAGAAATATTCTAAGCTTGTGACGTAACAAACTCTTCTTGTTATATTATAATAAACTCTGAAAGTTATGACTTTGATTTTAGATTATGTTAATAAAAAAATTCTTTTTGCAACATGCTGCAGATACAGAACAAAAAAGCTGACTTTGTAAATATGTTGAACTTCTACAGTTCTTTACACAAAATTCAATTTACGTTAACTTTATTGACTTTCATTATTAAAAATTCTTCTTTAATTTTTCAGCATGCTCAAAGAGCCTTTAAACAAAGTTCGTTTTTACAGAATTTAATAAAGAAACGTCACGACACGTGCCATGACAGTTTTCCACTAATCCAATTTTGGTTAAATTTATTGTTCATTCCCTTGAACTCATTTGGCAGTCAAAGTAAGATTAAAATATATTCACATCAAATATTATGATCGAGAAGATTTGTAAACTCATCCTATTTACCTTACTCCCACTCTTTGTTCTATTGTTATTCGATTTCAATTATTCTTAAAGCATAAATCTGGATGGGCTGCCTAGGAACGATATTTAACATTAATCTGAAGCAGTTCAAGTGAAAACCTTTTATTTTGCAATCGTTGTCATGTTACGAACTCTTTCCAGAAAGATTTCCTTACGCAATAAAAAAGTTATGAAAAGCACTGGCTAAAGTGTAACAAAAGTGATGCAAAATTATCACGTTTGTAAGTTCTTTACTCCCGGAAGCAAACGCCATTTGTTCTCCTTCTTCCTTTCATCCTCATGCATCATAAATTGCGATTGAACATATCATTTGCATGAAGCATTTATTCACATTCTAAAATCATTTTTATTCTCTTTTGTTGATGTTATGCTCTGCCTCGCTGGCTGTCAATGACAGTAACATTGTCTTCTTTCCTTCATCACTCTCATTCTCCCGACGATGTTCACTCACGACGAACAAATGAATCTCGACAAGACTTTATGTATAGGTCGTAGATATTTCTGTATTTGACGTCGTCAGTTTTCATTGTGTATCACTCATCGCAGAACCGTTGAATTAATTTACTTTAATTATGTAAATTGATAAGAAGCGCGAGCGGTGGGAAAAGAAAGTTTTTCTATTTCTATTACTCGATCTACAGGAACTTGAAAGTTCAATAGAATAATTCTAATGATTTGTTGCTTCAATCACGTTTCTGTTTTATTATTCATGACGTTGAAAATGTTGATTCTGCAACTTAAAATTCATCTCAACGAGATACTTTTGATCTTGATTTTGAAAACTCGCGAATACATTAGCATGTTGTGAAGAGTTGTGATTGAATTTTAAATCGATCTAATCGATTTGTGTAGAGGAGTGAGTTGATCTTTTTTCTTTATTTTGTATGTCTGATGGAATTGGATGTCATGAACTTTATCTTAAGTAAATCAAACACATGAAGTGAAGTTTTTTTTATATTTTTTGTTTTGAAGTTTGAGGTCGAAAGTGAGAAAATCCCCCGTTGATTAATTCTTTCTTCATTCAATCTCATGTGAAGTTTTTCATTTAAGCTTTAAAATAATTTCTACCTTTCTTCAACATATAAATATCTACGTAGATACTTAGCTGTTAATCACTTGCCAACACAACTTAAAGGCATTCTTTATGGGGTTGATGAGAGTTTTTTGATGGAAATAAAAACGGTGAAGTGCTTTTATTACTTTAATTAAAATCTGTTGATGCTAGACTGTGATTGAGATTAATCACACGTTGCTTTATAAGCGTTTTTTGTTTGCGGCAAACATTTTAACACAATTGAAATTATTATCTAACCGTTTTTGAAGGCAATAAAAATATGAAAGAAATTCTTGATGTTCAACGGGTTTTTAATTACCAAGATTCCTCTATGGCCTATGCTATGTTATGGTTTGCTTCTCATTCTTAATCTTTTTCTGTCTATTCACTCCTTGTTCGTATAACAATGTTTCATACAGATTTTCTTGTTCCCTCATTGAATATTTATTAATCTTCTAAATTGAAGGTAAAAGAACATTAAAAATTTAATTATCTAACAAATTTTACATCGCAGTTTTTCGCCTTTGTTTCTGCTTCATTTGTATCTTCCTTATTTAGCCTTTTTTATTCTGTTTAAGTGGTTGGCTTGTATCTCAAGAGATATAAAGCACAATATTAATGAAATTACTTAAAGAGATATTTTTTTAAGAAAATTTATGTTTCATTGACGATGCTTGATGAATTTCTTTGTTATTTCAAGTTTTGTTTAGATTATTCTGCTTTTCAAACTATAGGCTAACAAAAGGCTTATGCTTTCCTTCTATCCCATTTGTGCTTGAAATCATTGAGTCAACAAAAGGAAGCTATTTCAAATTATCTAAAAGGTAAAGTAATGTACAAAAAGATCAAATCAATGTGAGTTCAATAAACTTTCATTCATGTAATGTGCCAAACGGAAAGAGACAATAGAAGAAATTAGTTTTGTTTTCTTATTTATATTGCCTTCTTCTCGAACTTTATTGTCTACTTAGTCTTTATTCATGCCCATGTTCTATCGATAATGGAAGTTAGTTATATAATTTGATTTAGCTTTTCATTCACTGATGTAACATGTTCAACTTTGAAAACGGAAAAACAAAAGAAGGTCTGTTAGGGAAAACATTTTAGCTACTTCATAGTCATAAGTATCCTAAATTTAAGACATTCAAGTGTGAATCTGGCACAACTTACTTAGATATGAAGACGGAAAACTTTCGAATCATCAAGATTTAAAATTGTTTTTAATTAACTAAGTTGAAAAGTCTCTCAATGTTTTTGATCCCTTTTCAAGTGCTTTTACAATCACACCAGACGGTTTTTATGCTGTTGAAGTTCAAGTCTTGGAAAATAATTAAAAGACGAAAAAGATGTCGACAATTTTATAAGATGTAAGACGCTGAGAAGCTTCAGGCTTATCAGAAAATTCAACAAGGATTTCACAAAGAAGTGGTAAGTCATTCTGTGGTGAAATAAACGAGAAGTTAATAATAAAGTGAGTGTAATCTTTCAGAAATTCTTTTCTTAATTAAAGAAACGTCGAAGTAAATCAAGATATCTAAGAAGTAGTTTTAAGAACAAAAGCTTTCTTGAAAAATAAATAAAACGAAAAAACTTTTAATTCTTCAATTGAGAAGCAATGCAAACTTAATCTTCCATTGGAATGAAACTTCTCAAGCGTTAAAATTGAAAAGCCCAAAATGAACTTTTCTGAGAATAAATGGGGGAGAAGAATTAGAATCGAGATCAAGAGTTCAATGGATCATGTTGAATCTTTCGATTTGTTGCTGATTCTAAATATCTAACTGTTTTGAATCACGTTGAAGAGGAATAAGAAAGATTGAAATTGCTTTTGATTTGGGTCGAAGCTCTGACCAAAGCTTGATTGAAATGAAATTTTTATGAGAAACTTCCAGACCACTTCCTAATGTCAACTTAAGAATTTATTGGCGAAAATCAACCACAACTTCTCTTTTTTCTTAAAGCTTCTTCATGACAATCCACAATTCAAGATAAACTGAAACGTTTCGCTACTTTCTGCGTCTTATCTTTTCAACAGCAAATGAATTTTAAGTGAAAAGAAAATTCCAATCTTAATGTTTGAGGTAAATTGTTTCACTCTGAGTTTCTTAGGGAAATTTGTTTTTCAATGGTTTTTCTTATATCTTTTGAAAAAGAAGCAAATAATTATCAGATGTAGGATTTATTCTAAAATTTCTTCTTCGAGATGAGAGAAAAAAATTCTGTTGCATGAAACTACGTGACAGAGTCATGGATCGACCCAAACGTTCTTATTCCCTTCCAATTTGAACATTGAATGCATTAAGCCACTTGAAAGTTATTCTCGTTAAGATATGCAAATAAGAAATAAGTGAATGTTTTTCGGTGATTTTTTATTTCCTTTATTACGATAAAATTTGCATATTACGAAAACAGAAGAAAGAGAAAGACGATCAGAAGTGCATGAGATGCATTAACAAAGCGTTTAAAATTGAGTGTAAGTCACGCTCAAGTTCTTTCCTTCTTAAAAAAGAAACATTAAAATGAAATTGCATGATTAAAGGTTGCCGTTAAAGTTAGGTTTCTTTTCCATAGAAGATTTATTGCGTAAGAGATTAAATAAATAAAAGTGCGAGAGTGTAAATAAATGGTCATTGGCCTTGGCAAACAACCGGGAAAAGAAATTGCATCAGATTCAAAATGCATTTGCTTATTTTTTATCATTAAATATTGTAATTCGATGCATCCACTGGATCAACAACGTGCAGAAGCAAGAAGAGTGAACGATTCGATTCATTCAAGCAAGCAGACCTGTCACCCGATTATTTATTTCTTACTGTAGCTGTCCAATACAATCACTAAGCAATTACGAACTTACGTGAGATGATTTATCCACGATAAAAGCTTACGCCAATTTGTGATATTTATCTGATTAAATTTTAGGAGCCTTTAAACTCGAGACCAATCATTTAATTGCAGCAATTTTAAATTTTATTATAAATCATTTTCTTGTCGTTATTTTGTGATCTTTAATAACGTCTTGCCAAAGGTCGGGGACGAATAATAAAAGAAAGATGAGTTTGATATCGTTACAACCTTGTTAGGAAATAAATATAATAATTAATTGCATAAATACGAAGTTAAACAAACAACGAAAGGAAAAGCAGCACCATTTAAATAATCATTCATAATCAGGGCTTGGAAATTGTAAAACTTTCGACTTCATTTCTTCTATAGAAAGTAAATTAATTTAAATTCCAAGCTCTGTTGTAAATTTCTTACATATCTTAAGAAAAACATGGAGAATCTCATTCCAACATTATTTACACTTCTTGTTCATTTGAGAACAAAAATTGCTTTCATGTCGTTTGTTCCGCATTTCAATTCTTTTTTCATGAATTCATTTCTCTGCTAATGCTATTAACTAGTGAATTTTTTAGATGGGCTTAATGCTTATCGTATTACATTCCCAATCAAACAATACACGCTCAACACGGCAAAAGTAGAAATAATCCGTCGTGAACATGGGAAGAAGAATAAAAATTGCAGTTCAGTCGCCAAACATCATGTAGGTTGTTGTAGAAGTTTGTAATGCTCTGCATGCTAAATTCATTTAGTTTCGTTCTTCTTATCGGTGTGAAAGTAAAAACTTTGCACAACGACGTAATGAAGAACAAGGAACAAAAAGGCGTTCAAAGCAATTGATTGCAAGTCTAAAAATAAACTGAAGTTTCGTTGCTTCATAAAACATTTATTAAAGAAATCATTAATTGAGTTCTTCTAATTGTTCGATTGAGTAAATTAAATTAAATTAGAAATAAAAATTTAAAGCTCTCAATCATGGGAAGGTCAGATTCTTAAAAACATTTAACAAAGTTAACAACAATGAAAGAACCAGGAAGTTGTACTTTCCACTTAACAAATTACCTTCAATTTAAATTTAATGAACATCAAAGACATAAATCAAATCACTGAACATTATTCATGTTGATAAATTGTCTTGAGAGAAGAAAAGAGTTTTCACACTGCATATCTAAATGCATGCACGACATCGTCCAACAAATCAATGTCAATCAAGTTTATTTCTTATGTAACATTTTTCATCATAAAATATCCCCAAAGAGCAGTTAATTGATTTTCATAAGAAAACCAAAGCCTTGCTTAATAATGTTAACGATTTCATTACATAGTTTCTTCCATCATCCCAAGCCATCTATTATTGATAACTTTACTGATTTATTTATGATCTCTCGATATTAAAATTACATGTTATTCCATAACATTTTGTTCAATAGAAAACGCGTTTTCTTTTTCTTTTCTTTTTTCTAATCCACGTTAGTTTTAATCGTTATTACAAATACGGTGAAAAATTAAATGAGAAGTCATTACTGCAAGCACTTTCCATAGATTGTTGATAACTATCGCACAAATATGATCAATGCACGATAGCAAAAGAAGGTGAAACTAACAGAACTTACTGTGAACGTCGTCTTCTATTCTTATTAATTTTTTTCAATCATCTCACTCACTGATAAATGTGGGAAATGAAGCGGGTAGAAAAAAATTTAAAAAAGTTTGCTTGGTAAATTTTTAATTCGACTCTCTGTCCGTGCTGTGCTGATGTTCCGAGAGAAAGAGAGATAGGGAGAGTGAGAGAGAAAGAGTCAAGTTATTTTATATATTTTTAAGGTCATTGACACGTTATCGCGCGCTGCTTCGAGCTGTGATGTGAGCTGAAGCTGGAGAGTTTTCTTCTCTTTGTTATTACTTTATGAAAAATAATTATTTATTAATGCCCATTTCTGACTGCACTATGGTGCCGCGCTCTCTCTCTGAACGAATCGAAAGGCAATAATGTTATTATCATTATTTATGATCGCAAAATCACGGCTTGAAAGTAATGGAAAAAGGAGACTCCCAACTGAATGTGGAAAATGTTTAAGAAACTTCGTGATGCAATTTTAAAAAGGAAAGAAAAAAATATGAAAAATCGAATATGAGGAAGTCAAACGAACTCGAAAATGTAGAACTTGTTTCATGATTTCGTATGGTTTGTCTTACTCTTACCATTTTTGACATTGATCATTGCTGGTTGTGCCATGTTTTGATGTTGATGTTGATTTATAGTTACATTTGATGATGTTATCGAATGCTGTATAAGATTTGGCGTGAGTGGCAAAATTGGTTCGGGTGTCGGTGATGTCGACGACTCGACTGAATTTGGATTACTAAACGCAGCTTGCGTCATGGAGTCATCGGGCGTATCGAAGAAATTCAAATCAAACTCAGAGTGAGCTTCGAACTTCACTTCGGTAATTTCATCATTCACGGATGTTTCTGGATCGACCATCGTCGAGCTTATACTCGATGTGTCAATTTGAAACACATCCATGATCACAATTTAATTGATTCACGTACACTATTTATGAATGGCACGTTGTATTTGTAAAGTATTCAACGTTTTAATTCATTCCATTCATTGAAATTCCTTTTTTTTCTTTTTAATAACTTAAATTGATTTCTGACACATATAAAATAACATTTGGAAAGTTCACAGGTGGGATTTCATTGTTTATTTGCTTGTTTGTTGGCTTGTTTGTTTCAAAGTGCCATTAGAAGTTTCATTGACCTTTTGCCATTAAATAGCAAAAAATAAAGAGAAGAGTTTATATTATTCAATTAGATATCACTTATCATCACAGATATCCCGAAGCAAACACATCTCAACTAAATAAAGCACAGAACTTGGTCGCCTCTGATCGATCGATTAAACAAAATCACTAAAAGCTATTTCTAGATCACTTAATCGCCAACAAGCGAGAACATTTAAATGTCGCAACGATCGATGTTAAAAGAAATTTTCTTTAAATTCGTATAATTCAAAGTAGATGAATTTCTATCTCTGACGAGAAGAAAGCCTCGAGAGAAACTGTAGTTCGATGAAAGAAATGATTTGAGCAAATGTTTTCGGCTACTTGTGGCTACCAAACCGCGAAAATATGCTTAAAAACGTGCGTGTGTGTAAATATCACATCACATCAACAACAACTATTACTTAACATGTAAAAAAAAAGTTCGATGAAATGTGAGAAAAGTTTTTATCCAGTTGGGAGAATGGAGTTCCCAACAACCAACGACCGAAAACGCGACACATCGATCATCCAAGAATTCTTACGAAGCACTGAAGCAATATCAAGAGACAAGAAAATAAAAAAATAAAAGTTTCAAACGAAAAAAATATGAAAGAAACAAAAAGAAGAAAGAAAACTTACAACTCGCGCTTATTTCTTTTCTTTAATGTTCTATGTGCCTTTTTGGCTCGTGGTGTTGTGCTTTAGCAAGCAACAGAGAAAGAAGAGCGAGAGATACATGAGTAGGCTGTGTAAGTGAGAGCACCAAGCCGGCAAGAACGTTCGAGTGTAGCGGTGATCATCTTATAATAAGAAACTGTAAACTTCATATTCTTTATGATTCTAAGGATTCTTATGATAATAGCAACTGGAAGAAGTGATGTTAAATCCTCTCGAAAATCTTAACAAATCCAATCTGACTTGTGACTGTAAACGGTTCTGATAGTTTCTTAATGTTACACAATCAAAAAAAAATCCGCTTATCGTTATTTTCTCTTTCTCTTCATATATAAAAATTTCCTTGCTGTATTCTCACGAGTTCCGTAAACATTTCACAAATTAAAGCAATTGCGAAGAAAATTTCTTTCTTACTTTTTTTTCGGGTAGTAAACGCTTATTTGTTTTTATGTGTCTTTGATGTCAATGTCAGATAAGAAGAAGAAAACTTTTCACTTTTGATGTTTCTTTTAAGTTTTTTTTTTTCGTTTTCAGTTCGATTACATTTATTTGCATTTGCAATTATTTCGTTTCATGACGCGACAAATGTGAGAAGAATTCAAATGTCATGCAAGAATTAACTTTTTTTTTATTTTGGCAAGAAGCAATGGACGGTTTGTGGACATGGGAAAGTTTAAAAAAGTCGCATGATATTTGATAATTTCGTTTCATTTTTGATTGTGCTTCTTATTCTTATTCTACCTTCGTCATTCAAATATCTTACAAATTAAATTCTTCTCATAAATAACACGCCATTAGGCATCGTTTTATTTCATTTTTTAATTCATAAGTTGAACGATAATAAACATAGTCAAAATTTCATATTTCGTGAAGAGACGAAACTCTCGAGAAACAAAACGAAGCATCATCTCTGGAGCAAGTCAATTGCAAAGACGGAAGATTTCATGAGAGACACGAATCGAGAAAGAAGGGAAGAAAGAATGAAAATAAGAAGGAATAAAAAATGAGAAAGACACACGAAACCTGATAAAATAAATAAAGAAAAAGTGTTTTCACATATGAAATACCATCGCAATTGTTCGAACTCTCTTAGACATCGCGAGCTTCATGCTTACATGTGATGTGTACAATACAATTATATTAAAACTAACGCAGAACGAGCAGAAAAAGAGAATTCAGTTCAATGGCCGTTAGCTTGTATGTTGTGCTTTTTTTTTATTTATGTTTGATATATTTAACATAAATAAAAGGTGGGATAAGAGGCTGAGACATGGTCGCAACGACAGAATCCATTAAGTATTTCATCCAACCTTTATACGTGCCTGTTGTTTTTGTTTTATTATTTTAAATATTTCTTTTATTAGAATATTACAAAGAAGAAAGATGGAGAAAAGAAATAATAAACCTTTTTGTATCTTTAATGTCTTTTATTCTTATTCAGCGAGGCTTCATTCTTCTCTATCTCTCTTGACTGTTCTTAGCTGTTTCTGTTCTTTAATTTCTTTTTAAAGGTTCTTTTATTTAAATTCATTTCATACATTTGTCTGTGATGTTTTCTCGTTTTGTTGTTGTTAAACTGAATATGGAATTAATAAATGGCATTAATTAGATATAAACTGTCTGTGCTTTTTTTTTTTTGTTGCGCAAAGTTCTTCAATTGTTCTGTTTGCTTTTTTCTCGCTCTTGTGGAGCTCAAGGCATTGATGTTGCTTTTTTGGTTTCTGTCTTCTTTTTAGTTCTTTCTGTTGAAATCTAAGAGAAATTTATTAAATGAACGGTAAAGTTTCTAAGACTGGCTCACTAATTAGAAGGAAAAGATTGTTGTTGAAAAGCTTTTTCTTCATATTTTTCTTCTTGCGTTGAAATGTTATAAAGGTTTAATGGTTTGAAGGAAAGTATTCCGAAAATTGAATAACGAATTAATTTATAAGTAACCTTGTCTTGTGGTTAATTGTTTTTAAAATGTAAAGCATAAATTAAACTTGAACTTTCATTCATAATGGTCGAGGAACATTCAATCATTGATTTCTTCAATTAATACAACATTTTATCACAAAAAGGATCAAATTTCTGATTACCTTCACCGTTTATAATTATTTCCATAAAATATTCATTTACAAAATTTGCAAGAAAGACGAGATTTTGATATTGTTATAAGAAATCTTTGCTTTTATCGATCTACTCATTCCTTCAGCTTTCAGCTTTCCAGATGTATTAAAACATCATTCTGTTGAAGGATTTCACAAGTCATGAGTCATGACAACAGAGAATATTTATGTAGTTAAATATAACGTTTTGGATGTGTAAACTGATACAACTTGTAACGTTTCGCGAAATTCTTTAACAGAATAAAACAATAAAGTCACATAACGCATTTAATGCCACCATTCTAGCACACAACTCGTTATGAATGTTAAATTATCAAACGCAATTCCAGTATTATTTAATTTCGATTCTTTTATGGCGCTTAGGGTTTGTCTAAAGCCGAATGCAAAAGTCCATGAAATAAGTTAATGTAAATAGATACTCGATGGAATTGGCTTCAATCTTATTTAGACATTTCTTTCTTGTGCTTTTACTCGAGTCTCAATGCCGTTTTGAATAATCAGTTTTAAATTCAATTCAATTCATTTGTTGTTCAATGGCAATGTTAAAAACAGAAGCAATTGCATGTCGTATCCATAGCACTGGACTTAATTGATTCCCCATGAATTTCCTTGCAATTTATCTTTAAAATAGAAACAACTGCGCACAGTCTCATGTCTTAATTGACAGCCACTGCCGTTGCTGGTGTTACATCATTCGAAGTAAAGAGTAAATCTGGTTAATATTCACATGGCAAAACTAGATGATTTGCGACAAACATTTCATTTCAATTATTTTCTGAGAAATAGATTTATTAATGTCTGTCGTTTTCACAATGACAATGTCAACTTATGTAGTTAACATGGAGATGGAGGAGTTTTTCTTCAATCTTCAATAAGACAAAATTATAATCTTGATTTTTATCGAGAGAGAACATGATACCTTTTTGCTACTGACGTTCCCCATGCCATGTGTGTATTTATTTCTTTATTTACGAGCCTTAAAACCAACAAATGAGCCTAACAAATCGGATAAAAATCATAAATTCAAAAATACTCACTCGACCGAAAACTCGGCATTATTTCAAAAGCAGAAAGAAAAAAAGATTTTGGGATCTCTCAAGTTGCCATTTATTCTTTGAAATTTACTTTATTAAAAAGGAATGGAAGACATCAAGATTTGCCAGCACGTGGATTTACTTAATTTAGATATTTAGAAAGACAACTGGAAAATTGCAGACTTTAAGCTGTTCAGTCTTCAAATTAATCCAAAACCATTTGAAAATTATGAAATTGAAGACCAGGTAAGAATTAAGCTCATTAAATTTTAAGGGCGCATAATTTTAAATATTTTCTCTAATTACCAACAAATTGTACATTAAATAATAATAAATATTTATAAACGCCTATGAAACCCAACAACGTAAGCGTTAAATGTTTTCTTAATTCAGTTTCATCCATTCTTATAATGTTGTGGTGAAAAAATCTTTCCTTGCCCACACTTTTGTGTGCTTTTTGGGAAGTTTCGAACTTTGAAATGAAAAGAATTCCATAAATCGTTTCATCTAGAATATTATAGAAAAATATGAATTGAGAAACATAAAATTTGTTTCTTTGAGAAGAATATATATTTCCGGAAAT